CTGCTACTGAAACAAATCCCTGGGCAAAATAGCTTCTCATCAACAGAGAGGGAAGGATTAAATGTATGAACAGAATTGTCTTTATTCAAATAGAAGCACTTTAAATTAACTCTGTAGAGCACCAAATTCACAGTGACGTGTTGCATGGTTTGGTTTACAAATGAGCTGCAAGCAAACCAGATAGAAGTTAAATTAAATTAAGGTGATTGTACCCTCTTCTCTTAGATGTATCTTCAATGTAACAGAATCTGGGAAGTACAAGGGCTCAACAAAAATCATATTTTAAACATTTCTGCAAGTTGTAGCTGATTTACTACAACATTACTCATGAACATTCAAGGTATACCGATGTTCTTCCTTACTTCATATAATATAGAAAACAAAGACCTGCAATTTTAGATCCCTCACAGTGAGCACTGTGTCTGATTAACATAACTTCACAAATAAAAACAGACATGAAAATCAGTGTGATTGACTGCTCAAGCAAGTTTTCAAGCTGCTGGAGGATTTTGTTTTTCTTCATACCACAGAGTGAAAATAAAATGTCTGCCTGGAAAGTCAAACATTTTAAAAATCTAAAACATCACAATATTTAAGTAGTAATATAAAATTGTAGATGAGATTCAATTTAAATTGGCTAAAATGGGCAAAACACAGGCATGGTTCTTTAACAGATCCACAGTTTGATTTGTTAGACTGAAACCATTACTGTGGTCACCTTTGCCTATAGGAACTATTAAAGTAAATGCCTGCAATTATGGAAGTGTGTGCAAGCAGCAATATCAGGTGATAAGAATACCCCCAGAATTAAAAGAAAAACTGATTTTGTCCTTCAAATAAATATACATGCATTTTCACACTGCACAGAATGATTAAAAGTAATCGAGGTGGTGTATTTTTAAAGTTGGAGCAGACAGTCTTGAAAACATAACATAGCAAAATAAAGTATTTCCAGCTGTCACAGGCTGGAGGATGAGCAGTAGGAGCTTGACACAAATGCATCATGTAAGGAACAGTGGTGGCAGGGGGATAAAATCCATAAAACATTCCACATTTATTTTCTTCATTATCACTAACTGAAAATATAAGAATGAAAACAAAAAACGCATCCCATTGTTTTTGGTTTTAAGGCGGGGCTACATTAAGCAGGAGAGTGGAGGGGCCAGTTTCCCAAGAAGCATCCTGTGAATCCAGTTCTGCCAGACCATCTTGTGTCAGCCCTGCCCATCGCATCCATTTGTCTGTCCGTCTTCCACTGTGTGGCCTATTTCAAGCGTTCAATGAGTTCCTGTGTGAGTCCCAGGTTAAGCAACTCCATGGCAGGGAGTGAAGTCAGGTGGGGAAAGGCCTTAAGGAGCTTCTCCCAGCATAGCTCTAGCAGGCTGGGCACTGCCAGCCAGATCTTAAACAGAGAGCCAGTTCTCTTGTTCTCATGGATGTTCACCACACCACCGTGGATGTACATACAGCCAGCCTGGGAGATAGAGTAAAAGAATGAGAAACATTTCAGTGTTATATACAGTACAGTATGGCATTTATTACAGAAATTAATGAAGGTTCTATCCATATTGATGTTGCCATTTTAAACTATACAACAGCAATTGAACTGCAACAGAAAGAGGTTCAAAATAGTAGTGTAATACTAACTGGAGTAACAGCAGCGCAGTGGAAATAGGCTGGCTCAGGCATCACTGCTGGAAGTTTACTCCACTGGAAGGTCTGCAAGTTGATCTTCCATAGATCAGCTAATATCAATTCCCCGTTATAACCTCCACAGATAAATACATCTACACCAGAGGAAAATTAACAGATACCCGTTATTGTTGGTGCCAGCTGCAGTTTCATATCAAATAAAGGCAGAATTAATATGCAACAGTATTTGATTTGGTGTAAGAATTCTCACCATTTTGAATTTGCACACAGCTATGGCATCTCCTAGGAGCAGGATACCCTGTGATGAGCACAGACATTTTAGAACATTGTGCATGAGAATAAAACAGGGAGAGCTTAAAAAAAAAAATTTAAAAAAAAAAGAAATGAATGATACAGACCTATTTTATCATGAGGTTTAGTTGTAATCTCCTCCCAGGAATTGGTCTCAAGATTGTATGCATGTATCTAATAAAAAAAAGGGGCAATGAGGCTGTATTTATCATGACTGATTTCATTTCAGTAATGATTACAATAAAGAAAAATCTCTATACATAAAGTGTCATTTTAAACATGGAGACCATATATATGATATATGAATTTTCATTAGTTGAAACAATGCAGCCAATATTGTGAAACACTTGTTCTGAAGTTCAATTTTGTCATTCAACTCTCAGCTGTATTGATCCTCAGATTAGTAATAAAAAATGAAATAGTAATCAAAAATAATTAGAACAAATGTTCATTGAGCTGTCAAAAAATAAAACTAAATTGTTTAGGAGGACTTCCTTGAAACACTTTTAACATGAGAATGTGGCTGACACACAATTTTGGTGCTATGTTACATGTGTTTGGTGATTCTACTCATAGTGTGGTACAGTGGTACCTTGTCCAGAGGATAAGATGTCCAGGATGTTCCTCCTCCCAGAATGTAGATCCTCTGTCCATCATGTGCTATTTCATGCCTATACCTGTGACACACACACCAACAGCATGTCACATCAAGCAAGATGTTTGGTTTAGTTAGATCCTGCAGTGCATTCATGAATCATGACACCATACCGTTCCTCAGGCAGGTCATCAGGAGGGTTGTTGGGCTTGAGGTGGATCCACTCCCTGGTAGTCAGGTCCAGCCTGTGCAGGTCTGTGCTGTAAATGTACCCTGTAGTCCCTCCAAACACATACAGGAAGCCATTTATAATGACCATTGCCTGCAAGTGGAAAGATGAAATTGCAGCTGAGTAAATGGTAGTTCTGTTAAATCATTTTAAAATCAAATATGTATCCAGCAGGTAGACTCTGGTTGTAATTTGGCGTTTTTCCCCATCTCTACAGTTCTTTAAGAAACTGGATGTAATGAGATTACAAACTACAGACTGATCTCTGAGACTACCTGTCCATAGATTCTGTTGGGCTTCTTCCCACGACAGTTGAGCAGTGACCACCGCTTGTACTTCACATTACAAACATGAACATCATTGCCATTGTTTTCACCAAAGGGGATCCCCGTGCCTCCAAACACCAGGAGGTTGTTTCCGTGCAAAACAGCTGAAGAAACACGACAATATTTAGTTTTTATTCCGTTTGGACAAAAACCAAGGTTTTCTTTTGTCTATAAAATACTGATGAAGTCAAAATGCTTTTCTACTAAATATAAAAACTAATAATTGTAAGTTTCACCTGACATAGATGCCAGCTCTGTGGGCATGTAGCCCTCTGTTCGTATCTGCTGCCAGCAGCCTGTGGCAAAATGGTACCTCCATAGCTCCCTGAACAGTGGATAATCTTCATTGTCCGAGCCTCCTGACTCATCATAGTCAGGGTTGTATCCTCCAAATACATACAGGTTAGTGTTATCAGCAACACAGCGATGCCCACTGCGGGCAGGGGGAGTACGATGAGCTGGAGAGGGAGATAGAAAGTTTCATGGGGTGAGGAAAGGAGGAGCATGCAACAGAGATTCGACACAGGTAGACCTATTAGAAGTGTATCAACAAGAGAAATCATTTGCTAGAACCTAATATTAACAGGATTAATCAATGCATCCTTACTCCCCCCCCACACACACACACGGAAACTCAGTCATGTTGATGTACTGAGCACTATGTTCGGCACCTATGGGTATCAATACTTAGTACCCCCTCTCAGAGTACAATGCAGCAGTCACTTCCAGTACTGAGAACAAAGCTGACTAGAGGATGATTTGTTTGTGGATGTGAGCTGGTACAGGATTTTAGTCAATATGCACCGGCAGCTCTGCCTTAGCAAAACCACAGCATTTCTCTTGACATTTACAGACCCGAATCTCCTACATATAAACGCAGCCTTTAAACTCCCATCAAGTTGTTTACAGGTCAGGAAAACCAAGTAATCAATAACTGTGTTGTGTCAAGACATGCATTAAGCTTGCTGTACAACAGAAAGACGGGATTTTACAAAAGAGGAAATGGTATGATTTAATTTTTTAAAGCACACCGCGTGGATATGATTTCTAACAAGTTATTAGAAATTAGAAGAATTGCTAGATGGTGCTAGCATGAACGTTATGCTTAGCAATGTCACCAGTAAGGGCGACGTTTACATCTATAACATACAAGAGTGACAATGTGTGGAGCAGCAGCCACCACTGCGCTGGCAAAATGTGCCACCGATCAATTAAAGCCTGTCATTAGCATGTCTTGCTTATGTTGCCGACCGACCTGGTAGCGTCTCACCGTATGGCGGCCTGCCTGTTAGTCTCTCGAATTTATTCAGCCTGTCCGGACTGTGAGGACCTTCATTGTTCGACATTGTTTTCCCGTTACAATCCAGTCCTGAAGAATGTCACATCAAATGACCACATTTGCTGAAGTGCTGACAAAACATTATAAATCTTCTTACAGCCGCGTCAGTTTGAAGCCATTCACAGTTTTTACCCCGCGGCCATGAGACACTTGACCAATCACAGGGCTTGTTATTAGAACCTAGCGTCATCAGAGAGGGGCGGTACTGCGCGTGTATCCAAAACAACAACGGGTTTGGGGCTAGAGATGATGATACATGTGGTTAAATATAAAGTTCTTGTTTCACACTGTGATCTGATAACACTACAGGACTACAGCCGGAATTTAGAAATAACCAGCGGGAGTAATAAGTTCATGAGACCAAATTCCCACAATAGTTTAAGGAATGGACTAACCACCAGACAAACTCTATAAAATCTCATGATTATTTAAAAACATTTATTTTTTTTTAATTACATGTATTCAGTTACATTTTTTTTTATAAATGTTATCCACCTTCAGAGAGCAAGGGGAACTGATCAGTCCGAGCTGTAAACATGATCCGTAGGCTACCAGAAGAAGAAGGCTACTGTATTGTGTTCGGGGTCGTACAAAGCGGAACGACTGGTTTCAGGGCTTATTTTCTGTAGGACCTCAGAGTCGATCATGGCGACTCTTGGTGGCAATCGTGGAGATCGCGCCAGCAACTCTAATCTACAAAAGTCTTCTCTTGCTTCTCCGGAGAAAGTTCGTGAGCTTCTTAATGAGGGGGTGTCATCAGTCGGATCCAGCAGGTGTATTTTCTGAGCAATTGCGCACCATTTGTTTGATGTAAAGGGACGAGATACAAGTTGGCATTAGCTACTTTGGTTAGCCACTTAGCCTTGCAGCTAGGCTAACGTTACTTTCGTGAAATTTCAAGATGGGCAAGTTTCGGCAGATGTGACAGCATCTAGGCCAGCAACAGGAGTTTGCATATTATAATATTGTTGTGCATATCATATCAGGAAAGTGGTGCTTTTATCGTTTAATGGTGTTTTTTTGGAGTACTCATATTTATTGTTCGGACACCACTCCACCCCTCAACGAAAGGTTCACAACTGTATTGTGATGACCGCCACCAGCCAGTGGGAAAGTTAGGGTCAGCGGCAAGCATCATGGGGGTGCGTAAATAGTTAAGCGAGTGTTGTATAATCCGAGTTATTGTTGTATTATGGGGGGTTTAAAAAGACTGTTCGGTTCATGCTGTGTGTGGTGGGTTGCATCGAGCACTCTGTGATCGTCCTTGTTGTCTGCTCTTCGACTGGATTGATCATTGTGTTATGCCTTCGTTCTGTGGATGTGTGTGTGTATCAAATCAAATTTTACAACAAAAGTCATCTCAGGGCACTTTACAAAGTAAGGTCTAGACCTTACTGTTATCAATATTATTACATAGGGAAAACCCAACAAATCCCCCTTGAGCAAGCACTTGGCGACCGTGGGGAGGAAAAACTCCCTTTAACAGAAGAAACCTCCGACAGACCCCGGCTCTTGGTGTATGGTTGAAGAAGAAAATAAAATAAAAGAGGAGACTGACGAAGAACTGACCGGTTATTGTGGTATTTGGTCGCGAGTCAGGATTCTGACGAGTGTTCCGGGTGAGAGTGCACACTTAGCCAATGATATAAGGGGGTTTATCTCCGACGCGCGCTCAGAGAGTGATAGAGCCGTGCGGTGTGCGGAGCCAGGTTGGAACAGTATTAGCAGTACTCCGGTGCTAGCGTCCCGCTAGCTAGCTTAGCCGCACAGTTAGCATTAGCTCCTCTCCTCCACGCCGGAGGTCGCTACAGTATTATGTTCCCATCTAATTCCTAACTTTTTATTCATCAGTTATTATTAAATTCAGTTGGTCTGCACCATCTGTTCTTATCTAGCTTTACAAGTTTATTAGAAGAAATATTAAGGAATCCTACAGTGCAGAGTGCACATACATTTAATCAACTGCATCTTTCTTATCATTGAAAAAACAAGCAAGGGTGATGAAACTGAAGCTCCGTATATTCTATTTGGATTTCAGTGGACAAGGATATTTGAAAGTTCAGGAAGCAAAAAGCAACACCCAAGCACCCTGCGAGGCAACAAACAAAGAAGCTTTTTTCTCAAGAGTGGAATCCTTTTCAATATCCTTTATTCCTTTTGACACAGCTTCTTTCTTACATTGTACAACCATGTGGTCCCTAAAGGACATCATTTGTTGATATATACCCAATATGCATTTGGTGTTTCAATTAGGATACATTTAAATAATCACTGTGGGTAAATGCATAGATGTGTACTTTCATTCAGCGTAACAGTGAATTCACATGTACTGGTCTCCAGGGGAAACTTCCTTAGCAGAACACTGTTTGAAATGGGCAGGGAAACCCCGCCTACTGTCCCCTCTGGTGTGTGCCAGATATGGCTGGATCAACATTGGCTGTGATATGCTGAAGTGTTCCAGCTGCCAGGCTTTCCTTTGTGCATCACTACAACCAACTTTAGATTTTGAGAAATGTAAGTAAAAGTTGAAGCAACAGAAAAAGACAATGTCAGAGCTAGGATACACTTTATTTTGGCAAAGTTAGGCTGATGATGCCACTCTGTCAAAAATGAAAAGTCACACCTATCTTCTTTTAAATAGATGAATCCCGCATTGCAGAGATATCGGGGCAGCTTCAGACACGGCATGAGAAGTTTTGTCCTTGGCCTGACTTTCCTTGTCCAGGTAAGATCAACATCCCGGTAGCATGTATATATGCTAACAAAAATAAATCTGTATCATCCCATTGTTGTCTCAGGTGAATTGAGCTAAGGGCTATCATGTGATGCTCATGGTAAATGTTGCTTTTATTTCAGAACGGTTTTGGCTGGTTCCCGCCTGTGAACCATCAGCACTTCTTACTGCCTTCTTAGAGCGCTTCAAGAGTGCCTGTCTCCTTGCACAGCAGCTGCCAGCCATGAGGCCAGAGCAGCTGAAGTCTATGGTGAGGCAGGAGAAAAGTCTTGGAAAAAAACCACCTGAAACCATATGAGCATTGTTCATATTACAGAAAGGGTTTGGAAGGATGTTCCAGGGCATTATTTGGTCATTTGCACTGCTGTCCATGTACATTTCATAAGCTATTATTCATCTCATTGCCAATGCTAATGCTAACCACCTGACAATCTTCTGGTTATTATTCGCATTACTGTCACAGTTTGAACACGGCTTTGAGTTTCTTCATAGCCTATTAGGTTGTACCATTTAGTTTATCCTAATTACTTTAATTCGGTCTTCATATTCTATTTATTCAGAGTTTATTCTACTTTTATTTTATTTAGTTTCTTAAATGGTATGGGCATTCAATATTATGAGAAAGAGAAACAGTATTTCGATTTTTTTTGTATGTCCTGCACATACAGTGAATTGACAATAAAAAAAAAACTTGATCTAGATGATGCAAATGATAGCATACATTATAGAGAAATGTGAACTTTATGTAGATGTATTCCGATATCTGTTGTTCATGCGTAAATATGTCTACTGTTTCCTTGCAGTCTTTGACTGAGGATGTTGTCAGCGTTATACTACAGTTGATTGAGGAAGAACTAAAAAAAAGGGGAGGGGATCCATGTTCTGAACCTTTGGATGTCCAGGTGGCTGCTTGCATTGTTTCTCTCTGTGGCTGGGCAGCAAGGTGAGATGAAACTCCAAACTCCTTCTATTATACATAAAACACTAAACTAGAGTAAGCATACACACCGAAACTAATTTCCAGTATTAAATGTATCCTCGATGTACTAGGTGCATGGAACAAAATACAAAGCAGGATAGGAGAGGCAGTTTTCAAACTGAGAGAACATTGGCACAACAAGCCACCTGATCAAAATGTTTGAGCCGTACATTTATCTATCTTAGCCCAGCTCTGCACGCCATGAACTTGCCCATCCTCACCTGCTCCTACTGTATGCGCAAGGTGGGCTTGTGGAACTTCCACCAGATGGAAGAAACGAGTGGCGAGGGAGATGCCTTATCAAACACTTTAGGCCAGTCTGCACAAGAAACAGGTCTCACCTCCGCAGCCATGTCTGAGGGCCAGGAAGACCATGCAGCGTCTGTCTCACCCACCCCTGCTACAACCCCGTGTCGTATGAAGCTGAGGAGCCAGGACTCTACCCGTTCAGACCAGGCAAGTTCTACGCAAATGTGCTAGGTTATGGTTAAGCTCGGCTTATATGCACATATTAATCTTAAATAGAACTGCCTCGCTTCATATATAGCAATAGCAAATGTATTCTTTAAAAAGTTTGCTTTTTCACCTTTTCTGGTATGTAACAGGGTGAAGGCACCTCCTCCTTTGTGGCCTTGCGTGCCAGAAGCAGAGACTCACCAAGCCCCAATGAAGAGCTGCCAAGTCCCTTGACCAGGGGCAAGAGGCCTGCAGCTCGTACCCGAGGACAGGGGGACAACTGTGGCTCTGATGGCATTGCCAGCCTGCAGCACCCTCCCAAACGCCTGTGCCTCTCCTCAGTTGGTGGTCTTGTAAGGACTAATATTACTGCTGATTTGATGTTTGCAGTGATACTGCAGTATTATTATGACACAGAAGTAAAAATGAATGACTAGTACTACAGTGCTGCCTAGCCATTAAGGCAGTGTTTTTAGAGTAATATTGATGGTTTTATTTCTTAAATTCAAGATACAGCGTTACAGTTTATCATTTTAAAATCACAATTTTAGTTCTGACCCCTCTGCAGAGTATTTCTTGTGTGATAAATTTTGTCATATTACGTCGGCCGTATGTCTTGGACACTTGGGTGAAAAGAGGGGCGGAGCTGTCAACTGATCACCACTTGGTGGTAAGTTGGATCCGATGGTGGGGGGGGGGAAGCTAGACAGACTCGGCAGACCCAAACGTATTGTGAGGGTCTGTTGGGAACGTTTGGCAGAACCCCCTGTCCGGGAGATCTTTAACTCACACCTCCGGCAGAGCTTCGACCTGATCCCGAGGGAGACTGGAGACATTGAGTCTGAATGGACCATATTCTTCACCTCCATTGCCGATGCAGGCGCTCGGAGGTGT